CTGTGGAATTGCTGAGGAGACAGACAAGGAGACCCACTCTTTTTTAGGATTGTTGAGAATAGCTACAGTTTCCTTTGAGCCTTTGAGGACAGCAAATCTCTCACTCTCTCTCACTCTCTCTCTCTCTATATATATATATACATATGCCCCCCAATGCCCTCCTTTGTAATCAATCACTATGAGCAGGGAGTCTATTTCCTTCAGAAAGCTAGACTCATCATCATTTATGATCTAGTGAAAATCAGCAGTGGATGGTGATGGGAAATTTATACCTTAATATGGGTGCCAGGAGGGAGGGTTGGTGGGGAAGCAGAGGCGGAATTTGGGAACACCACTTGTTTAGGTTTCTGAAATAAGTCATCCTTTGGGATGACTTCCTTTGGGAACTTGCTAAGGAGTTGCCTTTATTGGGTGAGTAGTGTAGAAATTGGAAGAAATTTCTTTGTAAATGTCAGATACCATGTATCTAATTACCACAGACAGCTCAGGCCAGAGGTCTTTGATGCCATGTTTTCTCTTCTTCCTTTTCATTCTACATTTCTGAATTGGCCTTATGATTATCTCAAACTTCTTATTTCCCTTCTCCAACCCAAGCCGTCATGTTTTAGGAAAACTCTACCCTGTTTCATGGATTAAAGTTTACTTGTCTGAAGGGTCCTCCCAGGATGGGAGGAATCCCACTCAATTTTTTTCAGGAGAAAAGAAAAATAACTCAGTTGGGATTATTTTAAAGACATCTTTCTTCCTGACCCATCCCTACCAATCAGACTGGACAAAAATAAGAATGCTGTGATTCCTCTTGAGCAGCATTATTATACACATCCCTACTTCACATTTATAGTTACTAAAGGAAACATGTCGTGCAATTATCGTAATGAGTTGTCTGTGGGTTTTACATACACCATACTATAATAGTAGGAATAATCAATTAGCAACTTAATTAATCAAAACCTTTCAAACTATTGTGTCAGTTCAAAGTTTGTGTTTCTTGTGGTCACTTATGATTTTATATGACATGTAGATTTTCTCCTACTAACTTTTTGTTAGTTTACATGAATACATTAAGTATATCAGTATTTCTCATTTCTGCAAAAATTGCATGATGATTGGACCCTTGGTCCCCTGGACACTAGGGAAGCTGTCAACTGGGAAGCGCTGGTAGTGACTGGGATTTTACATTTTAGATGTAAAATCACATCACATCATGGCAAATATATCACTCTGCCAATGCCTGGCTTTCTTCAAACAAGATTAGCTTTAAGCAAAATTCCAATATTGAAACTGCAGAGAGTAAAAGTGGTTATTCTCCCGAAGCCTGATTATTATTTATAAATGCCTCACTTTGGCTCACCTTCATACACTTAACTGTATGTTCTAAACCATCTTCTCCAGATGGAGGAGAATTGCATTTTCCTCAGCATTTGGTCCCATTATTTGGTCCTGAATATAGGAATCTTTCCTCTCTGATTCATGTACCTGGGAAAGGAGCTTTCAATAGAGTTGTGAAAAATAGCAAACAGAAAGGTTCAAAGTGACCACTTTAGTAGAGAGTGAACAATTTTCAACTCCATGATAAAAATGAATCTGATAGTCTATATTTTTCTTTCTCAAATTGCAGGTTGCAATCCATTAGAGGATTGTGAATTCAATTTAGTTTTGTGAATTCAATTTAGTGGGTGGCAACCAATTTTTGAGAGAATGTCAGATGGAATAGTCTGGAATACAAGGTAAAAATCAGACATGTCAGAGCATCTTTCTAATAGGGGGTGGATAAAATATTTATATGTGAAATATTTTAAAATATAGAAATATAGTTGATACCTGGATGCCTGCAAACATACCTATCTATGTATAGTCACAGTATAAGATCTGTTTCTTATTATGTTGTGATCAAAAAATTTGCAAGTTACATGTAAATGTGGAACATATGGATACTTTAAAGACAATTTACACTAGTTCTTCTGGTATTTCTCTCTGTGACGAGAGAATTAAATTCAGTTAAATTCTATCCTAAAGAACATTACTATTGCAATTGCTTACTGTGCCCATCCACCAAATTTTGCATACATGAGAACTTTCCACCCCCACTTATAAGATCATGAATTCTTCACACATATCCCAATACCTATGCAAATTTATTCCCACATTCTTTCATTCTGCCACATTCCATTTCCCCTTCCCAGACTTGCTGTACTTGATAATGGTATAAAACAAATTATTTTTCCCCTGTTAAATGGCTAGACACCAAAGACAACTTGGACACCTTCTGATAATTGCCTATGGCTTATCACTGAGTTCACTGAAGTCTACCATAAGTCTTCATGCCTTTTGGGAAGGGTTTGATCCCAGATGAGTGGGTTTTATTTGGCCATTATATGTTGCTCTGTGAGTCTGGATCAGAGTTAGTTCAGCTTCATTAGAAGATTTATCTTTGCTGATTGTCCAGTTTCTTCTGCCTGACCAACTTTATATGTTGCAACATCCCTCTTTTCACTATTGATCTGACTTAGCTTTGTTCCTCACTAAACATATTTTATGGAAGGGACCTTTTATTTTTTTTAAAGATTTATTTATTTATGCATACAAGAATTGGAGCATAGGCCAGAGGTGCAGGGGTTTGAGAGGGATCACCAGAGACGAAGTAGGGAGCAAAGCAGAGAGATCTACTGAAGTACGCTGCTGAGCGGAGCAGCGGGCGAGACAGGAGAGGTCTGCTGTGCCGTGTGGGCCAGCTCCCTGGCCAGGGATCAAACTCATGCTGCAGTGGCTGCAGAGGCTGCAGATAGCTTCATAGTGCACTTTAACTTGATGCACTACCGGAAGGGCCAGGAAAGGACTTTTTAAAAGCATCTCTCATTTCTCCACTCCCAGAATCTAGTAAATAGGGGGCATGTGCTAAATGCTGATTAGTAGAATGAATGATCATCCAACACTTTTATGAAATGGAAGAAAAAATAGGCCTAGTGAGGGTTAATTAAATAGTTCAATACAGAGATAAGATTACAAAGTTCTTGCTGACTCTAAAATCCATATTTTCATTTTGTTACTTTCGTTCTTCCAGAAAAATCATTTTAAGAAACTTTATAATCAATAAAGGTTGTAGTTAATACTATCTTATAAGAAAAAAGATGAGACTTGACTTTTTTTTAAAGGTTTATTTATTTATGCTTACAGTAATGGGGTACAGGCCAAAGGTGTGGGTGAGAGGATTCAACAGAGACAGAGTCGGGAGCAGAATAGGCAAATCAACAAAGTTCACTGCTGAGGGGAGCAGCAGGCAGGTCAGAAGAAGTTTGCTTCGCCATGTGGGTCAGGTCCCTGGCCGGGGATCGAACTCATGCTGCTATGGCTTTGGAGGGAGAGCTTCATATTGTGGTAATTTAACCTATTGCACCACTAGGGAGAGCCCAGAGATTTGATGATTTTTAAGTGGAGATTTAGCTTTGGAAGATAGAAGTGTGAAGAAAAGTCAAAAATCAAGACAAAAGCATAGAAACTTATCCTCTAGTGCCTCTGGTTTTCTGGGTTTTCATCTGTAAGAGGAAATTTGCTCCCAAAGTGTTTGCTCCAGTGGCAGACACTAGAGCATTTTGTTTTCACTTTGTGTCACTTGACCACAGAGACAGCACCCTTGAGGACAGTGATTCTCAACTAGGTTCAATTACCTCCCCAAAGCACACTTAGCAATGTCTGGAGGTGTTTTCTTCATTGTTACAACTGGGGAGAGGATGGATTCTAACATTGAGTGTGTAGAGGCCTGGAATACTGCTGAATATCCTACAATTCACAGCTTCCAAATTACAAAGAATTACCTAAGCCCAAACACTCAGTAATGCCATTGCTAAGAGAACCTGATGCAAGGATGTGAAAGGGCTCTCCAGCATGGTTGGAACTGGAGAGCATCATGATAAAAGAAATAAGCCAGAAGGGGAAAGACATATACTGATGGTCTCATATACTGATGGTCTCACTTAGAGTGGAATATAGAGAAACATAACAATGGTCAGTCAAAACAAAACCAATAATAAAGCTTAATATTTCACCACAAAGCCAGAGGGAATGGAGCCATGGTGGAGGATGGTACGGCCCTGATACTGGGCAGAGTGTGAAAGGGTATATTTGTAGAGGTTTGAACCTATGATCCCCAGAACAGATACAAAGATGTAAACTTTCTTTACTTCCAGTATATAATTGGGGGGGGGGGGTGTTGTTCTCTAGTTGGACCATCTGTAGAAATTTTTGGCCCCAGCACTTTTTTTTTTTAAAGATTTGTTTATTTATACTTACAGAACTGGGGTACAGGCCAGAGGTGCAGGTGTAGTGAGAGGATTCACCTCAGACAGAGTGGAGAGCAGAACAGGCCCACTGACAAAGTACACTGCTGAGGGGAGCAGCAGGTGGATCAGGAGAGGTCTGCTACACCATGTGGTCACCTCCAAGGCCGGGGATCAAACTCATGCTGAAGTGGCTTTAGCTTCTAAGTGCTGTGCTTTAACCCGCTGCGCCACCAGGGAGATACAGCTCCAGCACTTTTAAGCTGAGTGATCTTGACTCATAGTTGCTCCACTTTATGTGTTTTCATTTATCGATGGATAAAATGAAGATCATAATAATGTTTACATCTTGTGATTAAATGATTTAATACAAATAAAATGCTTAGAGCAGTGATTGTAAAAGAAGTGTGTAGATTAAGTGAGAAATGAAGCTTTGGTAAATGCACATCACTTCCCATGCTTCTCTCTTCTTTCGTTTTGTCCATTGCTTATACAAAGTTAACAGATTAGATAGAGTCTCTTTATCTTTACAAGTTAGCTGACTCATAGATAGTGATAGGCGCCTTTTCCTGAGACAGTTGTTTTGCTGTGAATGTCTCAGAGTCCTCACTGGGATTACAAGTGGTTGGTTCCTCTGCTAATAATTGTGTTAGTGTGCAAGATGGCCACCTTTAGCTGGATCCCCCTTTTGTTCTCTATTGCAGGTAAAGACCCCAATGTGTGAAAATGAAGTCCCAGCCTACCATGATTTACTGCTTAATATTATTCCTGGCCACTGAATGTTCTCACTGTAGATTCGGGATCCACATACAAGTAAGTTTGATGCAATTTTGCATGGTCCCATGAGAACCAATCAATTTTTCTAGATTGCAATATTTATGGTAAATAAGTCGTTTTAAAGAACTATCCACATGATTATAATTTTATTAGTGTTGATAGTTTTCTAAATAAGGAAACAAAGAAAAGTTGAGAGGTGGCTGAGACAATCAGAATGTAATTGTAACAATATATTTACAAGTGCAACAGGTTGCAACTGTACAGTAGAAAAGTCACCAGTACAGAGCACATAGACAGGCTTCTATTGAGAGGAAGAAATTCTAGGCTGGCAGAGGAACAATTTAGGGTCCAATCTTGATTTTGCTTCTCATTAATTAACAAATTGCTTTACTTCCTTGTGTCTTAATCTCCTTATCTGTAACATGATAAGGAGACATCTTCTAAAGCTCCAAAAAAGTTTATGATTTTATTATTGTAACCTAATAATTATTCTTTGCATCTGTTCATGTTTTCCTTTCTGAGACTATATGCTATACCAGTTCCATTTCATAGTTACAGTTTATGCAGAGAACAAGTTAGTGAGATAACATAGCTTAGTCATCTCTGTCTTACTTAAGTTTTCTGAAACATGTACCCAATCCACTAAATGAACTTTAGAACCCAAGTAACCACTGTGAAGGTTCTAGCTCTCACTGAAGAGTGTGTCTCACACCTATATTTTCAGCAAATTCCTGTGATATCAGTACTCAGACCCACTGCAGTTATCATCCTAGTCCTGGGTACATTTTACTTCATATCTACACAGAGGTTCTAAATTCATATGAGAGAGGAGAGTCCCACAGTAATGAGCATATTTGGAAATTTCTATTTTACAGAATGGAGACAAACTTCATCATCCTGAAGACAAGTCCAAGACTGGAAAGGCACAAGGTATGTGGCCATAGAACAATTTTCTTTCACTTGGAGTCTGGGTAAAATAAAGAACATTGATACTGCAAGCACATCACCAGACTACTTGCTTTCAAACAGCACAATGATGTTTATGGTATCCAGAGTGGTGTTTATTACAAATGTGCCATTATCCACAGCATAGTTGAAGCAAGTTGACAAATACTTACATATGGTCTAGTATAGTAGATACTCCTTCCTTTTAAAATCTTGAAGGGAAATGTGTTTGATCTAATGAGCTAACAAGAGGCAGAAGAGGAAAGAGGACAGGGCACACTCTTTCCTGCCAACATACTTTCAGGAGGCGTAACTCTGTGTAACCCCGGCAATGAGAGGTAACTGAAGATGCAAGAGGTTTTGGCATGAGTGCTCACTCTCAGGAGTGAGAGATAGATTATGGAGATGATCATTAGCAGTGAGAGAGTGAATCACATGGTTCTCACTCAAATAGCAGGGATAACTGAGTGCTGCATGGTTCAGCCAAGTGTCTTTTGGTGACAAATACACCTCTAGACAGATGTGGAACTGAGAAAGGGAAAAGGAGAGAAAAGTCATTCACATTTATTGAGCACTTATGACAACACTGGCCTAAGTGCTGCGGAAGATGTCTTGTCTTTCCATGTTCATACATCACTATCTCCAAACTATATGGATGAAGAAATTGAGAAGCAGTATGTTTAATTTACTTACCAATATTGATACTTGTAGTTTATGGCAACTGTAGTCCTTTACAGGAAGGTCTATGACTCTTTCCTATGTTGTTGCTAAATAGTTTTCAAAAATTAATCTATTTAGTAGGCCTCAGATTAGCCCAACATTCTTGTTCCTCGACAACTTTACCACTGCTTTCCTCCCTACCCTCATCTTTTACTTCTCTCTTTCAGAGGTGCTGAACTAGCCTTTCTGATTGTTTGTTTATTTTTTACTGAGGTAACATTGGTTCAAAACACTGCATATGAAGGCCTCCCTCAAGGCGCAAGGAGTTAAGACTCAGCACTACATAGTTATCATCAGCCAATGCAGTTCAATCCCAGCCAGGGAGCTGACCCACATGCCACAGCAAAACTCTCCTGTTTCACTTGCTGCTCCCTTCAGTGTATTTCAGTAGATCTGCCTGTGTTGCTCCCCACTCTGTCTCTGGTGAATCTTCGTATGCCCCCTTTCTTCTCCCCACCCCTGTACCTTTGGCTTATACCTCAGCTCTTATATGCATATATATATAAAATAAATCTTTAGAAAATATTAAAACACTGCATTTGATTTAGTGTTGTAGAATCAATCTGCTCAGATATATGTCACTGCACCCCATGTACTCCTTCACCCTAGCTAATTGTTCCCCCTCACTACTTTGCTCTTACCCTTCCCTTCTGGCTCTTGTAACCTCAATTTTACAGCGGTGTTTGTAGAGCTTGCTGTTGGTTGGCTTAGTCTGCCCTTTGTTTTGTTTTGTTCATTCCATATGTGAATGAACCAGTCAACATTTGTCTTTTTCTTTCTGAACCAGCCTTTTGGAATGACCTGGAATCCCTCCTGCCTATCCTCTGTTCACACTGCCCAGACATCACCTTTGCTCTCTGCTTGGCAGGTCTTTCTTGTTGCTGAGGGCCCAATTCAAATGTCACTTCTCTGGAAAGTCATCCTCAAATCTCAGAATGAATTAGATATCCCTGTCAGAGTGTGGAAATGCTAATATGTTAATTGGGTCCCTCCCCACCCTGTCATTCCCCAACTCTGTTCCTTCTCAGAGAAATGCCAAGGACCTTGTATCACTTCTTCCAACTGCAGTCGGTCCTGCTCTCAGCACTTTCTTGGAGAAGTAGGTTTTACATGTAATCAAAACAAGTGGCGAAAATCAACTGAAACCTGTACAAGCCTCTCTGTGGAAACATTCTTTAAGGTAATGTATTTATATTTTGTTGGTTACAGGAGTTAATGCCATTGGTGGTAGTAAGAACATTTTTTTTGTGGCTCAGCATGACAATCAGATCTGGACATGGTAAAATCTATACCATGTGTTGAAATTTTCTCTTTTTCCTTCCTTATCCAATTTTTTACATATGTCTCATCACTATACCTTCTTCTTGCTCTCAGAGTCTTTTTCAAAGGATCTGAAACATTTACAATAATAAATGCTCAACTTAAATTTCAGTTCCCAAGAGGGACTTGCATACTCTCATGCTAATTAATTAATCAAGTAAATCTAGGTAGAATCAAATATATTTTATATATTTTTCTAATGACTTCAATTACTTGACAAAAAGAAAGGAGAGCTTTATGATTCAGAGGGAAAGAAGGCCAAGAAATACAACAAATCTCGATTAAAATACCATATCTTATAGCCTTCCACACTCAGTGACCATTTCCTTCTCCCCCCCTCCCCCACAAACCTGTAGAAGCATAGTGTTTTTGTATTTCTTAAAATTTTAAAAGTGATTTTATAGATTTCAAAAGAAATTGCTGATGAGGTTCCTGTCAATGAGCATCAATAAACCTGTAGATTTCCTTATAAACACACTGATGTTAAAACTCATTTAAATGAAGGAAATTATAGCTTCAGCTTATCTAAAATCACATTCAAAGAATTCTAACATCTGAGCAGATGAGGATACAACCTTTTCTAATTAGTGAACTCAGTTCTTTCAAATTGCAATTGCTTAATGTTGTCTTTGACCTGCCAACCTCCAAAACCAGTTGTAGCCCAAATTTCATGTGGTTTCTCTCATAATAATAATGATAATAGTAATGATAATGATAATAATAATAATAATAATAATAATATAACTAGTGAGATTTGCTTTTAAAATTTTTCCTCCACATCTCTCAAGAAAATCGTCTTGTTTTAATACTTGAGTTAAAACCGCTGAAAGCAAAGGTCAGCATCCTGATCTCTGTGGGGAATTTGGTGGCATCTCCTCCTGCTTGTTTTGAGTCCACATTGCCTACTGCTTACTCTCAGCATCTAAAACACTTTTGAGGACATTTGTGTTTCTGTTTTCTCCATGTGAGAAATTTGTGCTGTTGGGTCCTTTAGTCTGAAACATGTTAGTACTTAATCATATCTGAATGAAACGATCTTTATTTTCATTATAAAAACAGGACTCAAATGTTGCATCCCGCCTTTCGGTGGCGGCACCGTCCATCCCATTGCACGTTCTTGACTTCCGAGCACCAGAGTCCCCAGAGAGTATAATTGAAGGAATCCGCCAGAATTGCCCACTTGATTATGCCTGCATAATAAATGCTGTGAAATCGTCAGAAACTACGTCTGGAAATATTGCATTCATAGTGAAGTTATTAAAAAATATTTCTACAGACTTGTCTGATAATGTTACTCAAGAGAAAATGAAGGTATTCTTTGTTAATTTCATTAACGAGTGACCATGTTTTTGTTTTTTTGGTCACAATCTGGCATTTTAATCCTCTCAAATGTACTTCTAAGGGTAGATACTGTTATAACGCACAACAACCATAACACAAATAGACACTTCATTTCAATCTTGTATTTGATTCATTCAAGTTTATGAAAATTTTCGAAAGGTTGGACTGATTTTTATGCATATTTTTGGGCAGTCAACATGTATGAGTGAGTTCTATGAACAAGTTCTTGTCTACCGTAGTGTTTACAAAGTTTCATTCTATGGAACATAATTGATCTAAAAATGTTAATGGAGTTGCCATTTTTACTTTAAAAGATTTATTTATTTATTCATGCAGAACTGGGGTACAGGCCAGAGATGCGGAGGGTGAGAGGATTCACGAGAGACAGAGTGGAGAGCAGAACAGACATATTAATGAAGTACACTGCTGAGGGGCAGGCGGGCAGGAGAAGTCTGCCACGCCATGTGGATCTCTTCAGGGGCAGGTGGGATCGAACTCATGCGCAAGTGGCTTAAGCTTCTTAGTGCTGTGCTTTAACCCCCTGTGCCACCAGGGAGGGCTGGAGTTGCCATTTTTAAAAGGCAGTTGTAGGACCTCTAGGTTAAACACATTTTAGCAGGTTTCCTTACCTCAAGGCAGTTTAGAGTTTCTTATGTTATTAGCTTTGGAACTCTTTATAAGAAGGGGCACACAGGGAAATAGCATGAAGTATTTCTCAAACTTAGAGTACCATAGAATTAGCCCCAATCCTCTCCATTAATCAGTTATTAATATATCATGGAAATATCAGTCCTACAGATTATTTGGAAATTCTTCCTTGGCGTACAATAAAACAGGTAAACCTTACCTCTGATGCTTTTTGTTTTATTTTATTTTATTTCTAGCATCCTTTTACTTTTCCCCCTTCAGCTGGTTTGCTAGTATCAGATTCTAATTAGCAATGAATTTGAAAAGACATATATGAGATAGATCAGATAATTTGATCTTTAGAGATTTCAGATTTTAGAAATAGTCTTTGTACCATGATACAAATGCTTAGTATAATATCCACTTTTCTCCACTGCAGAGCTATAGCAAAGTGGTCAGCCACATCCTGGACACAACAGCCATCTCAAATTGGACTTTCATTCCTGACAAAAATGCCAGCTCGGACTTGTTGCATTCAGTAAATTTGTTTGCCGGGCGCCTCCAGATCCACAATGAATCTGTGAACATCGTGGATGAACTCTTCATTCAGACCAAAGGGTTTCACATCAATCACAATACCTCAGAGCAACGTTTCACTTTCTCCATGAACATGAACAATACAACAGAAGGTATCTTAGGAACAATAGAAATTCCCAGGCAAGAGCTATGGAAGCTACAACCGAATATATCCCAGGCTGTCAGCATAGCTTTTCCCACACTGGGGGCTGTTCTGCAGGAAGCCTACTTACAAAACATGAGTCTTTCCAGGCCAGTGAATGGTTTGGTACTTTCTGTGATTTTGCCAGAAAGACTGAAGCAAATCTTACTCACCTTTGAGAAGATCAACAAATCCAGGAACATCAGGGCCCAGTGTGTTGGCTGGCATGCCAGGAAAAGGAGGTGGGATGAGAATGCGTGTAAAACTATATTGGAGATCACCAACGAGGTGAAATGCCGGTGTAATTATACCAGCTCGCTGATGTCTTTTTCCATCCTGATGTCCCCCAAAACTATAGATGACAAAGTCCTGGAATATGTTACCTGCATTGGGCTCAGCATCTCCATCCTTAGCTTGGTTCTTTGCCTGATCATTGAAGCCGTGGTGTGGTCCCGGGTGGTGGTGACAGAGATCTCATACATGCGTCACGTGTGCATTGTCAACATAGCTGTGTCACTCCTGACCGCTAATGTATGGTTCATCATAGCTTCTAACTTTAGCAAAAAGGTCCAGAACGACAACTGGTGTATTGCGGTGACGTTTTTCAGTCACTTTTTCTACCTCTCTCTGTTTTTCTGGATGCTCTTCAAAGCACTGCTCATCATCTATGGAATACTGGTTGTTTTCCGTAGGATGATGAAGTCTCGCATGATGGCCATTGGCTTTGCTGTTGGCTATGGGTGCCCATTGGTCATTGCTGTTACCACAGTTGCTACCACAGTGCCAGGGAAAGGCTACGTGAGATCTGATGCCTGTTGGCTTAACTGGGACAATACCAAAGCCCTTTTAGCATTTGCCATCCCTGCCTTGATCATTGTGGCTGTGAATCTTATTGTGGTTTTGCTTGTGGCTGTCAACACTCAGAGGCCCTCTATTGGCAGTTCCAAGTCTCAGGATGTGACCATAATTATAAGAATCAGCAAAAATGTTGCCATACTCACCCCATTGCTGGGACTGACTTGGGGTTTTGGAATAATCACCCTAATAGAAGGCATGCCATTGGTGTTCCATATAATCTTTGCTGTGCTCAATGCTTTCCAGGTAAGTCCCAAGAAGGGGGGCTTTTTAAATTAATAATATTAATATTTTATATATAAGCTATTATTTTATAATTTGTTATTTTGGCTATAGAACAACAACAACGAAAAAAACCCTGATGATTTAAAAAATGATCATACAACATATTCCTTCCTTTTCCATTCATCTCTCAAAGACATTAAGCTGGTGTATCTCTCATCCTCTTGATTATCGAGTTGGACTTAGTTAATCAGCCTGCTTGGGTAGGAATCTATTCCTTTCTTACTGATCATCCAAATGGGTCCCTCCTAAAGTTGCCATGTCAGAAAATGACCTTTGCTAATAGGAGACTAGTCTTTGGCCAGGAATGTACGGGCTCTGCTCACATACTATATGTTAAGTAACAAACAAGTTTTTAAGGATTGTCACTGAAATAAGTAATTTTCCATCGCACGAAGAGGTAATCTTTGCTGTTCACTGTCCATATGACCCAGTCAGGAAGCCTCTCACCTCTTCCCTGCTACTTCCTAAGAAATTACCATAATCATTACGCATAGAAATGGAGCTGGCTACATAATTCCTAACATTAGGAATGTCATTTTTATCTGCAAGATAAAGATATGGATACAAGTCTGAAAGATAAAGATATGGGTGGTGTCTACAGTCTTTTCTTACATTAACACACTAGGTTTGGCAAGGTTCTCCCTCTAAAAGTTGTTACCTCCATATTGGCTACTGAGTTTGTACTTTTGGGAAGCTGTCACTAATCACACTGCTTTTCCTACTTATGAATAATAGAAAATTTGGTCAATTCATATTGTTAATTATGTTTTTTATCAGTGGTTGGCAAATGCTGGCCTGCTGCCTGTTTTTAAGACTAGTTTTACTGGAAAGTAGCCATGCTCATTTACATTTTGCTCATGGCTGCTTTTGAACTACAGTGATAACGTGGCACTAATTATAACAGAGAGTTAGGCCAGCAAAGCCTAAAATACTTATCTGGTTCTTGCAGGAAAACAACAACAACAACAAATGAACAACTCCAACCATTACTTTAAGTTATATAAATATAGCTGCTTAATAAAGTTATAAAGCTTTCTTATTCATGTCACTATTTTTTTTTACTTAAAGTTGTGATATGAAATATGAAGGAGACTTTGAGGAAATACCAACTCAGACCAATTATCTATCTTACTCATAGTTCTTAACAAAATAGCGAATGTATATTTTATGTTTTCCCTTGAATTCTTTCAAAGAGAAACTTTTGATGTAGGGGTTTTTGTTTTTGGAAATCAAATGTTCTTAGAATCTAGATCTCTACATCTCTTGGACTTCCTCTGATAACTAATGATCTCATCCTATTTTAACTTTGCAACTTAATTAAACCCCAGAACATTTAGTTTTTTCTTATCTTGCTAGGAAAAAAAAATTAAAATATTTAGTGACATATATTCCACTTCCCTCAGCAAACTTTCCTTATGACTCATACTTTTTTTTGAAATAGTTACTTCAATACAAAATATTGAAAAGTAAATATGTAAAAATATGACTTCCCTTGCCCAGCAGTATCACTCATCTGATCAGTTTACTTTGCCATAACATTATCCTTGCCACCCTGAATTTCCTGCCACTTTCATGGTCTATTTTCAATGGATCAGAATTCCCATCATTTAGAATATATATATATATATATATATTAATTATTGTGTCTTTACAGGTGAACAAATAATTGAAACTCGAAGAGACCCAGGCCTCATAGGTCTCTGTGATCTTCTCTCTGTTTTATTCAGAAACTTCTTCCAGCAGCTCAAAAGTCCTCGCTGTTTCTTGACTTTTTTAAAACTCCAACCGAAAGTAGTCTAGAATATAGGTTTCATTTTCTCAAGACACTTTTCATGATTGTGCCTTTAAAAGACAAGATTCTTATTATGTGTTAACTATCATCATGGGTAATAGAGCTAGATTAATACCTGGGAAGAAAGTGAACAGATGTGGGCCTCTTTGGTGGAGCAAGGGGTTAAGTCTCAGCTCTATCAAGCTATTGTCAGCCACTGCAGCCTGAGTTCGATCCCCAGCTAGCTGACCCACATGATCATGATGCAATAGACCTCTCCTGTCTTTTCTGTTGCTCTCTTCAGCATTGTGTTTCAGTAGACTTACCTGTTTTCATCCCCACTTTACCTCTGGTGAATCCTTTCATCCTCTGCCCCTCTGGCCTACACCCCAGGTTTTGTTTGCATAAGTAAATAAAATAAATCTGATTTTAAAAAGAAAATAAGCAGATGTAATAATGTGAAAACTCTATCATGCTTCTGTAGTCATTCAATAAATATCAATAAGGCACAGGTTCATAAAGCTCATCCTTTTTATTTTAAATACACTTAAGGATAATATTTGTGAATGTGATTTATCTGAATTCATACAAACTGAAATTTTTAATGTCTGATATTTGACCTAGAAGGTATCTAGAAAATTAGTAGTAAAATAACACCTGGGATATTGTCTTCAAATCTTTTCTTCAAACTTCTGTCAAATTTTGCCACAGGGGTTCTTCATTTTGCTGTTTGGAACCATAATGGATCAGAAGGTAATTTGAATTCGTTTTACTCATTATAAATTAATTTGTTAGATCAACAAGCATTGTCCAGGAGAGTTGAGATTATGGGATTATAGGGTATCAGCTATGAGAAGAAAGGAGAAAACCATTCCCTCTCATTTCCTTTACTGTATCAAATCAGCAGGAGGCTTTTGTGTTAGTACAGCTGGAAAAAGAATAGCCATTATAACCACAATTTTACTCATCATTCTAAACTTAGTTATAACTTTACCTTAACTTTTATCTGTCTTATTATTTGCCAAACCCTGTGTTAAGCCATCTAATGACCATACTACTAGGACTGTTTGTCTCAATGTTTCAGGACTTGGGTCTGAGGTTGAGGAATGTTTTCTTTTCATCATTATCATTGCTTCTTTAGATAAGAGATGCTTTGAGGATGAGAATGTCTTCACTGAAGGTCAAGTCCAGGGTTGCAGAGGTGAGCTTTTCTAGTCTCAAGCTTTTCCCAGTTAGTAGTATTGTAGTCTCAACACTGGGATATCGGTGATCCCAGTAGAGTCTTGTAGAAAGAAATATTATAATTCTGTATTCATTAATTTTTAGTAAAGAAAATCATTAGGACATCTCTTCATTTACTCATTTGTTCGCACCACAAACTTAGTGTTTCCTGCTAAAGTTTAATATCATCAGAATATACCCCTCAAGAGAATGTCCCCCACTGGGTATATTTCAACTTGACATTTAGATTATTGAGATATGACAACATGAATCTAGAATCATACTTTCATAAAATGCTAGAACTAGGAAATAAAAATGTTAGAAGTGAGTTTCTAGTCCAAACTACTCATTTCACAGGTAAGAAAACAAAGACCAATATTACTTTTAAGATTTATCCAAAACCAACCAATCATGATAATTAGCATCCTCCTTTTTGAGAAATCATTTTAGTAAAGAACCTTCCCTTGAACAAAAGTACCTGTGTTCATAAAGGTCTTGAAAATTATCTGCGATTACACTATCTTTAAAGTTATCAACTAAAATTGCCACTATTGCTCTATATTAATTAGAAAGAAGCCATTTACTCAACTAATAGTTATTAAAATAGAAAAACTAAAAAAAAAAAAGACTTTCTGAATACATTGAGGGTCAGAATTTATGGTTAGCTAACCCTGTGTGTGACTTCTAGTACCATACCTCATCAGCTTAAAGATAGGCATTTTCTTCAACTTTTAACATTTCTGAGCTTGGAATGTATCTTCCAATCAATGGCATTTAACTGGCAAACTTTTTTATTCTTTTTAGTGAAACATAAAAATAATGATGTAGCTTTATTGTTAGAGTCAGTGAACTACAGTAAGTTAATTCTGTGTATCTGTGTTAATTTTAATATTTCTGTCATGTATTCATTTTTATATACTCTGGCAGGCATATGCAGAAATATAAACTTGGGTGCATTTTTGTCAATGCCATTACTCATTGATGCCCCTATTATATTTTTCTCATTTAGAATGCATCATTAAGCCCAATGAATGGATCTAAATTAATGAATCGCTAAGGATGAGATGTGAGTATTCAAAACTCAAGGAGAAGCTTCACTTGCAAGTTGTGTTAATGTCCCAGTGAGCACAGTGTTGGTGATGACGTGATACCGGAGTTGGGTGGGAGGGGAGCAAGCCAGCCTATCTCACAGAGCATGGAAATTTCTTTATTTATGAAAATATGCACCTCATCCTTAAAACCTATCTTGGTTACATGACTAAACTCAAGAACACGTTTCCCCCATCTTCAGAGAGAGGAGATGCTTTCATCACATCTGTACTGATTCGGGATACACCCTTAATACCTACAGAACTCATAAACCTTAATTCCACCTTGCCACTGAGAGGTGACACTTATAATAGCTCCATTGTTGAGAAGGAAAACTTAGTTGATGGCAGTCACAAAACAACAAGGCTGTCTCTATCTACACAAATTAGAGCTGAGAGACATTCTTATTGGGGTGTGGATGGGTTATGGCAATTTAACTTCCTACTCACGGTCAACCTCTGAGACATATTCTGCATAATTGAAATCAGGGATAAAATATTAGGCAGCCATGAAAAGGAGAATAAGTCACAAAATGACAGCCAGAAACTTGAGAGGTAGAAGGGGAATATGAGTGGGGCTGATCAAGTCTTGGTATGGCTTGGTATGGAGAGGTTCCTTGGCCTTTCTGCATGGATTTAGATGAGCCACTCAATTTCTTTTTAAACACCATCTGGTGGCAGCCACATCCTCTTCTACATTCCTTTCCTTTCTGAGTCACGGTTTGTCCATTGAGCAATGGAAAAAAGCAAAGGACTGAGATGATCTCATAGAACCAAGACATTCTGGGTTGGGAGAACTCTTAAGGGACTTCCTGTGTTACAGAATCTACTACAAACCTGATGTGTAGTTCCAGGGAGGAAAGAGTATGCTCTTTCATGTGTGGGATGCTGACAACTCACAGAGAGGAAAAATACTAGCAAATTATCCTTTATGCAACATTCACATTTTGAACTTTATGCTAGAACTTTAGAAAGGAGGATCTTCTATCTCTGCCCATTTCCTAGTCCTAGTGCTGCTAGCCTATGGTGGAAAGCCACTATGTTATTCTGGATTAGTCAGTAATGGAGAGATAGTTCAGATTACCCACTGAAGCTGAATTTCCCTTTTAACATCTTAATTTGACCTGTTTTAGAAGTTCCTAAGTGTCTCAAGTGGGTCTTTTTTCTTGGGCATACAGGTTCAAGCATTGTGGAGATGAGAAGCATGAGTAAAGTCTTATTTCAAGCTAACTGAGCATATCTTATTGGCTCTAGAAAAAGTTGGAAAAATTCAGTAAAAACCACCATCAAGGACTGTACTACTTACTAGAATTGGAAAGGAGAACAGATTTAGACCAGTATTAGGAGGAAGTGTAGGAAGGGGATAAGAATGCATGACGAACTCTCCCTACAGAAATCCTCACCACATAATCCATCTATTTTTGATTTCTATTTTTTCAGCCTATCAAGCAGGTGATGAAGCAAGGATTGCTTTATTTCAGTATATCACCCACAGGTAGCCTAGAACCTTCTAAATTTTCTTAGCAATTGGGCTCAGGCCTTTTACATCTGGACACAGGGCATTAGAATGTCTCAGTGGCAGCAGCTAGAATCTTGGAGCCCAAGTGAGTTAGAAGACAGGGACAGAAAATTCACAGTAATTTATAAAGATCCTCCTTTCTAAAGTTATAAAATAGAGCTCTTCCTTTCTGAAGTTCTAACAGAGCTCCAAGTGTGAGTGTAGCATACAGGATAATTTGCCAGTTCAAAATGGGCTTGCAGGGAATTAGGGCCTGAGTGTGATGAAAAGGCCACACATCCCACTGCCCTCAAGTAGGACTATTCCTACAACAAAGTTGGGACCAGTTTGTCAGGTATTCTGGGGTTCAGGCATGGGGACACCAGGATATGAAAACCTGGCAGTTGGCTTCAGATATAGATTCTAAATAGGGCCACATCTTGGGACAACATTCCTAGCATACCACAGTACCCTCCCCCTCCACCCAAACAGTCTGCTCAAGGAAGCTTCTTCTGCTCCTTTAAAACCTCTTCCATGTGTTTGTTTGTGCCTGAAAGCACTAAAATAACTCTTCATGAGGAATGAGTTTGATTGAACAAAAACTCAGAGAAGCATCTTGGTTTTCTATGTAAAGTTTTAACTTCAGAGATTCAGTCATTCTAGAGACCAAGTTTAGATAGCACGGAGGGTGAGAGGATTCAACACTGAGTTTAGGATTGAGGTAACAGCAGGAAGAAGTCAAAGGGTACAGGAAAGAGAAAACCTTGCTATTCTGTGACTTTGATGAAATGACTCAATGCCTCTCTGCCGCCATTTCCTCGCCTGTAAAATTGGGTTAATAATAGCACAGATTTCTCAGGATGGTTTCGGGATCCAAAGAGCTACAAGAAACTAGTAGAACATTGCCTGGTTCAAATAAAGCACTCAAAGACAAATTGTTAGCTGTTATTTCCCCTGTTAATCAGTGTTTCAACCATTTGGCCCAGGTTGTCCCATTCCTCATGGCTATTGGTCTCCTGGACTGACAGTTGAGTTCCAGGGGAAGGAAGCTGAAATGAGGAAGGCCAATCATGCTTCCCTGAAGACCTCTTCCAGTGAAGAGTGACACCTCAGCTCTCAGTCTGTAAACGTTTGCTGAGCAAAATTTGAGGCTGACTGGGCTTCAGGAGGCGGAGCTGCTCACGCTTTGATCTACCCCTGACCTGCGTCAGCCTAGCTACTTAGACAGCCTCGCAAGATTAAGACTCAACCTGTAAGTCATTTTATGACCTACACCACAGGCCTGGGGTCACTGGAGCCCTTCAGGACTTGGTCTCCTTTTATACTTGAGCCGGCTCTGTGACTTTGCAGGTCCCTTTCATCCATCACAGGGTGACATCCAGTGGTAAAGTCAGTCATAACTCTGCATGGATCCTGGGTGCTTTTCAGAACAGAAGTTAGGTCCAGCTTGAGGATGGGGTTGGGGGTAGGAGTGGGAGATGGGATGGCAGGGGAAACCATCTACTTTAGAAACATGTCTTGGTAGGGGTTCCAAAAATAGGAAACAGATTAAGGAAAGACAGATTAAGAGGACTTTCAAATGTGTGTTTTATTTGAATCTATTTTAAAGCATGACTCAAATGATTTAACACCTGTACTTTTTTTTGTTTTCATTTGTGAAATAGGAAAAAAATTCTTCTAAGTACAAGTATTAGTGTGTATATGTTATATGTGTATTTGTGCTGTGTGTGTGTGTATTTAAGTCACTGTAATAAAAAGGATTCTGGTTGTTATTTTAGAAATAAAAATGAAAATGTTTATCTTTTCAACATGCTTATGTGTAAGTTTATTCTAAAATGGAAATACTCCTCAACTTCAATGGCAAGGGAAGTAAAAGCAAGGTGAAGTAAATGGGACTACATTAAACTTGAAAGCTTTTGCATAGTAAAAGAAATTTGCATCAAGGTGAAAATACATCTTACTGAATGGGAGAAGATAGTAAGTCACCTTACATCTGACAAGATTATCCAAAATATACAAAGAACTCATTAAACTCAACAATAAAAAAGCAAACAATCCAATTAAAAATAGGCAGTGGATCTAAATAGATGCTTTTCCAAAGCAGACATACAGATAGTCAATAGACACATGGAAAGATGTTCATCAGTTTTCATTATTGGAGAAATGCAAATGAAAACCACAATGAATTATCACTTCACACTTGTGAGACTGGCCTATATCAAAAAGACCAGAAACAACAAATACTTGTGAGGGTATGGAGCGAATGAGCTATACTTCTGTGAGAGTACTCATGAGAGTGTATTGTTATACACAGTTGGCTGGATTACAAATTGGCACAGCCTCTATGCAATAGTATGGAGTTTCCTCAAAAAGCTAAAAATGGACCTATCTAGTGACCAAGAAATTCCACTTTTAGGTACCTATCCAAAGAATGGAAAAACACTAATCCAAAAGATATCCATTCCTACCCACAAGAGCTAAGAAGTAGAAACAACTCAAGTGTATATCAATTGACAAATGGATAAAGATGTTGCAAGTGAATGCAGTGGAATACTACTCAACCATGAAAAAGATAAAACCTTGCCATTTGAAATAACAGGAATGGACGTAGAGAGAATTATACCTAGTGAAATAAGTCAGCTACAGAAAAACAAATACCATATAATTTCACTCAAATATCGTATATAGAGAGAACAAGCAAACATAAAAAATAAATAAAACAAAATTAAACTTTTATACTATAAGATCAATTAGTGGTCACCAAGTGTGAAGAACAAGGTGGGGGCTAAGTTGTGATGAAGGAGGAGCTAAGTTTTTCATGAGGATAACATTGGGATTTTGGTGATGAACTTAATGAATTTAAGGGATTCTCAGTGATACACACCTGACACATGAAGCTATAATGTAATGTTACTTCAATTAAAAATTAAGTTGGAATTAATTAATTAAAATTAATCCCCATTGGAATTACAACACTCTTGGGTATCACTCCTGTTATCAAAAAACTCAATTCATTAAATAGACCAAGAAGACCCATGAAATATGACCATGTACTACAAGGTGAGAACCAGAAATATTTGGCAAACAGAGCTACTGTTTTTCAGTGATTCTCAGTGAAATTTATCACCACTTTGGCTTTAAACTTCAGTACAGTTTAATTTCACTTTTAATTCAATCAGTAAGTTTGATTATTATCATATGGGAGGAAATAAAACAATTTAATCAGGGCCCTCCCTGGTGGTGCAGCGGGTTAAAGCACTGCACTGAGAAGCTAAAGCCACTTCTGCATGAGTTTGATTTCCGCCTGCCCTGGAGGAGACCACATGGCGCGGCAGACCTCTCCTGACCCGCCCGCTGCTCCCCTTAGCAGTGTACTTCGTAGATCTGCCTGTTCTGCTCCCCACTCCGTCTCTGGTGAAACCTCTCACTGCCCCTGAGCCTCTGGCCTGTACCCCAGTTCTGTATGTACAA